CCCGGCTGGCCATCTCTACATACAGAGGGTTCCGGGTACCACAGACTTTGGCTGCTAAAACTCCTGCTGTTTTTCTTCAATTCACAGTAATCACTGAGGTTCAAAGGAGAAGATGACCACAACCTTCTCCAAGGAGACTTTCAATGTCCACAGACACGGAAAGTTATTGGCAAGTTTTCCTCTAAATGTACTTCTCTCTGCCTCCTTTGCCCTCCATCAAGCTCCCAGTTATGTGTGGGACAGGGAGGCCCAGAAGTCCAGAGCCAGTCATCAGCCAAAAAGCTCTCATGTTCTCCCTCAGCTCACTACATGGGCTCTGATAGCTCTGCAGGTGGAGCCCAGGTCTCAGAGCTGTGGAAACGCAGCTCCCTAGGGTCCCAAGTCTCACCTGACAGGTTACCTCTTGCCACTTTAAGAACTTTCTTTGTTTACTATCTTATCTCCAAAGTCACTGCCACCTTTGACTTTTAAGAGTCCGTGGTCCTTAGCCTGCCCTCGGGAGTGGCTAGTAACACTGTCCAGACTTGGTTTGGCTGCATCTGTGAGTTCATCCAAGAGCTAACGGGTACATTGGCTCATTCATTATGGCGTGTCCTTCCACTCACATTCTGTTGGCCAAACTAGTTCCCATGATAACATCTACTTCCCTTCAAAGAGGGCAAGAAAATGCAGCCCTGCTCAGGGGATGGGAGGATGAGAAATGCAGTGTCTGTGTCCAAGACAAACAACTGTCATAGCTCTTGTGAGAGGCCCCCTCACATGCCTCGTGGGGACCACCACACTTCACCTGAGATCTCTGACTCTTGGGTGACTGTGGAAACAGAAAAGGAGACTTGTTCAGTTTGATTTCTTCTTAGGAAAAATACATTGGCTTCCAATGATCAGTATAGTTTTTCTCCTTTTAAATATTCCAACTTGGAACTGGAGAGAAGGTTCAGGGGTAATGAGAACTTGTTCTTCCTGAGGACCAGAATGCAGTTCCTAGAACCCACATTTGGTGGTACTCAACTGTGTAACTCCAGCTCCAAGGGATCTGATGCCCTCATTTGGTCCCCCAAAGACAAACACACATATATGGTGTCAGCACACACGCATGCGCGCACGCGCACACACAAACACACACACACACACACACACACACACACACACACACACACACACACAGACAAAGACATACCTAAAAATTTTAATTTTTTTAAAAAGAAAAGCAGAAATTCAACAGTCCTGGCTAGTTTTATGTCAACTTGACACATGCTAACATCATTTGGGGGAGGGAACCTCAATTAAGCAAATACCTCTATAAATTCAGGCTGTAGGCAGATAAGCCTGTAGGGCATTGTCTTAATTAATGATTGATAGGGAAGGGCCCAGGCTGTTGTGGAAGGGGATACCCTGGACTGGTCTGGTGGTTCTGGGTTCTCTAAGAAAGCAGGCTGAGCAGGCCACGAGGAGCAAACCAGTAAGCAACACCCCTCTGTGGCCGCTACACCAGCTCCTGCCTCTGGGTTCCGGCCCTGTGTGAGTTCCTACCCCGACTGCCTTCGGTGTTGAACAGTCACGTGGGGGAGCAAGGGAAACAAATGAACCCTTTTCTTCCCGACTTGCTTTTTTTTAGTTTTTTGAGACAGGGTTTCTCTATGTAGTTTTGGTGCCTGTCCTGGCTCTTTCTCTGTAGACCAGGCTGGCCTCGAACTCATAAAGATCTGCCTGGCTCTGCCTCCTGAGTGCTGGAATTAAAGGTGTGTGCCACCACCGCCCAGCTTTTGACTTGCTTTTGGTCATGGTGTTTCATCATCACAACTGAAAACCTAACTAAGACACCAACTTAAAAAAATTTCCTTTCTGGTTTATAGTGTAAATATTCAAAATCTAATGTTTAACCATGTTTAGTTTTGCCAGGGACAGAATGAAAACCACAAAAGTCTATGGTTCCTAAGGGGCTGTGCTGGTTTTTATTGTTAGGACAAAATTCCTGGCATAAACAACCTAACAAAGGCTTTTGTGATGCTTAATCTTGACTGCCAACTTGACTGGATTTAGAATTCACCCAGAACCGGGTGATGGTGGCGCACGCCTTTAATCCCAGCACTTGGGAGGCCGAGCCAGGCGGATCTCTGTGAGTTCAAGGCCAGCCTGGTCTACAGAGCAAGATCCAGGACAGGCACCAAAACTACATAGAGAAACCCTGTCTCAAAAAGAATTCACTCAGAATACTCAGAATAGGGCTCTTCTCATTCATGAATCCCTTACACCTGAGAAATCTTATACAACCCCAGGTAGACAGGTATATAAAAAAGGTATACAGCGTTCCCAGAAGGTTGTGCGCACACCTCGCTTCCTCAGAGCACGAGAGTGGTTGATTGCGGGCTGGCCATGGCGCTTCACGTCCCCAAGGCCCCAGGTTTTGCCCAGATGCTCAAGGGTGGAGCAAAACATTTTTTAGGATTAGAAGAGGCTGTTTATATAAATATACAAGCTTGCAAGGAGCTTGCTCCATACAGCATATGGACCAAATGGAATGAATAAAATGGTCATCAATCGCCTGGAGAAGCTGTTTGTGACAAATGATGCAGCGACTATTTTAAGAGAGCCAGAGGTACAACATCCTGCGGCAAACATGATTGTGATGGCCTCTCACGTGCAAGAGCAAGAGGTTGGAGACGGCGCCAACTTTGTTCTGGTATTTGCTGGAGCTCTTCTGGAGCTAGCCAAAGAACTTCTGAGGATTGGTCTGTCACTATCAGAGGTAATATCAGGCTATGAAATAGCTTGCAAAAAAGCTCATGAGATTCTTCCGGATTTGGTATGTTGTTCTGCAAAGAGCCTTCGAGATGTTGATGAAATGTCATCTCCGCTTCGAACCTCTGTAATGAGTAAGCAGTATGGCAATGAAGCATTTTTGGCCAAGCTTATTGCTCAGGCATGTGTATCTATTTTTCCTGATTCTGGCAATTTCAATGTTGATAATATCAGAGCGTGTAAGATTCTGGGCTCTGGTATCTATTCATCTTCAGTATTGCATGGTATGGTTTTTAAGAAGGAAACTGAAGGTGATGTAACATCTGTCAAAGATGCAAAAATAGCGGTGTACTCTTGTCCATTTGATGGCCTGATAACAGAGACTAAGGGAACAGTGCTGATAAAGACTGCTGAAGACCTGATGAACTTTGGTAAGGGAGAAGAAAATCTCACAGATGCACAAGTGAAAGCTATGGCCGCCACTGGTGCAGATGTCATAGTGACGGGTGGCAAAGTGGCAGACATGGCTCTCCGTTACGCTAACAAGTACAACATCATGTTGGTGAGGCTGAACTCAAAGTGGGCTCTCAGAAGACTCTGTAAAACAGTTGGTGCTACAGCTCTTCCTAGACTGACTCCTCCTGTTCTTGAAGAAATGGGAAATTGTGACAGTGTTTGCCTCTCAGAAGGTGGAGACACACAGGTGGCTGTTTTTAAGCATGAAAAAGAAGACGGTGCCATTTCTACTACAGTTCTTCGAGGCTCTGTAGATAACCTGATGGATGATATAGAAAGGGCAGTAGATGATGGAGTTAATACTTTCAAAGTTCTCACAAGGGTAACGCATCTTGTACCTGGAGGTGGAGCAACAGAAATTGAATTGGCCAAACAAATCACATCATATGGAGAGATATGTCCTAGACTTGAACAGTATGCTATTAAGAAGTTTGCTGAAGAAAATTCTGCTGTGAAAGCCAATGACGTTGTCTCTAAACTTTATGCAGTGCACCAAGAAGGAAACACAAATGTGGGATTGGATATGGAGGCTGAAGTTCTGGCTGTAAAGGATATGTTGGAAGCTGATATTTTAGATTTTTACTTGGGAAAATACTGGGCTATTAAATCGGCCACTAATGCTGCAGTCACTGTACTTAGAGTGGATCAGATCATCATGGCAAAACCAGCTGGTGGGCCCACACCTCCAAGTGGAAAGAAAGACCGGGATGATGACCAAATGACTGAGCGACTTTTTCTTGTGGGTAAAGAGTTTTTATGTGTAGAGTGGAACTTCCCTAATCTGTTCTTAGTCTCCTTGAATTAAGAAGTATTTGTGTTTGCACTCTGCTGGGTGGTAACATAAATGTGTCACTGTTAAACCTATCTGGTCACTTGCTGCTTGTGTCAACCTTTTTAAACAAACTATAAGCAGGAAAAGTCACTTACATGACTATTTTGTTTACCTGGCCTGCTTTTGAAAATAAATTGTTTAAAAAAAAAAGAAAGAAAGAAAGAAAAAAGAAGTATGCAAATCAAACATTTGTTGATAACAAATCAAAAGATTTATTTTAAAACAATTATCTGTGGGCTGTCCCAGTAGGCAAAATTGTTGCTGGTACAGTTATGAGGACCTGAGCTTGGATCCCAAGAACCCACATAGAAGTCAGGTGTGGCAGCATGAATCTGTGGCCCTGCTTGTGCGTGGGGAAGAGACAGGTAGATCCCAGGGGCTTCCTGGCCAGTCAATCCCCCCAGCCACCTGTAACAGCAAGCTGAAAGTTCAGGGAGAATTCCTATCTTTAAAAAAAAAAATTAAAAAATAATTTAACATTTCTATTTTATTTTATTTGTATGGATGTGTTTGCCTGTATGCATGTACATGTGCACCATGTACATGCCTGATGCCCAAGGAAGCCACAAGAGGGCACTGGATACCTTGGAACTGGAGTTACAGGTGGTTGTGAGTGGGCATGTGGGTGGTGGGACTCAAACCCAGGTCTTCTGTAAGAGCAGACAGTCCTGAGGCACTCTCCAGCCTCCAGCTTAAAATGTAAGGTGAAGAATGATCGAGAAAGATACCCAACATCAGCTTCTGGTTTCCATATGTGCATGCATGGGTGAACACATTCACACATACATGCAAACACATGCACACACCACACACACACACACACACACACACACACACACACACACACAAAACAAAACAATGATTTTATATACATGTAACCTATCATTTATTAAAGATAAAGGTAAATTTGCATTCTGAGATGGTTGTGATTACTTTTAGATACAGAATTAGATCTTAGATGAATATATGATACTCTAAGACATAAAACATCCTCGACTTTATTCAGGTGATCAATATTTTGATTTTTATGTTATTTTCATTTGTATTTATGTGTCTCTGTGTGTGTCTGCTATGTGTATGCAGTCCACAGAGGTCAGGGGTGCCAGATCCCCTTGAACTGAAGTCACAGGCAGCTGTAAGCTGCCTGATGTGGGTGCTGGATCTGAACTCAAGTCCTCTAGAGGCGCAGTAAGTGCTCTTAACCTCTGAGCACATCTCTCCAGACCCAACATTTTGATTGCTTTAAGTTGTCAGTGTTGATTTTGATTTTGTTTCTTTCTGTAAATACCACAAAATAGCAAAAGCATGTTTAGGGCCATTTCAGAAGTTATTGAAAATTTTGTCTTAATCCTGAGCCAAAATTCACCTAATAGTAACTTTTTCTCAAAAGTTGGGGATTTAGTGTGCTTGCCTATCAAACACAAGGCCCTGGTTTTGGTCCCCAGCACTCAAAGCAACAACAAAATCAAGTCAGTAATGATCGGCTGGAGCCTCCAGCTCACTCCTGCTTGATCCAGAAAGCTCCATTGCTCTCTCTCCAAACCCCGCCCTCTCAGAGATTCTCCAATGAAGAAAGGGCACCAAAAAGGCTGATTCTGCATTCTTGGCGGCTGCAGCAGCTCCTCCTCTGAGGCAGGAGCCCAAGACTCTGCCTAAAGCGGTCAGCTTTTGACCATTGTAGGCACAAGCCCAGCTTCTGGAGGACACATCATCACCCCTCGCCTACAGGGTATATAAGTTATATAAGTATATAAGCTTTAGTTAGAGTGACTGACTTCTCTGGCCCCAGTCTCTAGGTCTGGCGGACTCATCCAGGAGTTCCTTTGCTCAAATAAACCTTTTCTTTCACTTTTTCAATTTGGCTTGATCTGACTTACTGCGCTGGCAGAGAAACCTATTATTCCATTGCAGAAAACCTGTTGAGGTAACTCAATTTTCTGTTATCAATTTTTAAAAGTCAAACATTCTAACACCATACAATTCAAAGGTACACTGATTTGCTATTTCCATGGTGAAGAATGATAGTAGGACAATACTAAAAGCCTTGGTCTTTCTATAACTAAACCTTTATGTTTCTATAAAAGCAGAAAGCGTTGTACTGAATAGTAAAAACACGGCAGTTTGGTAGACCACTGGCATAGCATGCATGAAGCCTCGGGCTCCGTCCTCCAGCACCGTATGAAGCAGACATGAATATACACGCCTATAATCTCAGCCTTGGGAACTGCAGGCAAAAAGATTAGGAGTTCAAGGTCATCCTCGTGTGCATATTAAGATCAGTATGGGCTACTTGAGACCCTGTCTCACACGCACAAGCTCAAGCCACACCCAGTGTCACAGACCATTTCCTACTGTCTGGGCAAGATGTAGAACTCTCGGCCCTCCCCAGCATCATGTCTGTCTGCACGCCGCCTTATCCCACCACATGATAATGGACTGAACCTCTAAACTGTAAGCCTGCCCCAGGGAAATATTTTCCTTTATAAAAGTTGCTGTGGTCATGGTGTCTCTTTACAGCAACAAAAAGATCCTAACAAGGACAGCTGACAACAACTGATGACTGAAGTTACCCTGAAAAGCAGTCGATTTCTCGAGCTTTCTACATGAGCAAAATAAAGCAGGGAGCCACAAAGCATGTCAGAACTCCCCATCTGAAGACAGGGCACTATCTCATGCTTGCTCAGCATTCATAGGGAATTCAGACTCTGGCTCACCCCTTGACCCAAGGCATCCCATGGGACAACCTGTGGCCCCAGATTTGTCTGTGGAGATCAAGGCGACAGATCCCAGAGAGCAAAGGTAGATAACGGAGAGGCCTTCAAGGAGGCTGCAGGGCCTAGAACACAGGCCTCCCTCAGCTCCTTGGCATGGAGCTGGCCAGACATCATCAAGTTCCACCCCTGTGGAGAGCACAGAGACTCAACTCTCCTCTACCAATTCCTCCTCCTTGACCTGTGTGTGTGTGTGTGTGGGGGGGAATCAACAGCAGGAGCCACTTCTGCTCAGTATGGGGGGGGGGCTCGGCTCACCTAGGAAGTGGGAATGGCGATGGAGATAATGTGAGAAGGGACTCGATGTCTGTCCAGTGATGATCTGATTCATCAGGAAAGGGAGTTTCTGGAAAGTTGGGCTGGAAACTGTAGAGGTTGAACTGTTGAGTCACCTGTTGGGAAGCCGCGGAACGCTTTGATAAGGAGTCTGACCTGCTCAGGCTTAGGCCAAGCCTTGATGAATTTGACAGAGATCTGTGGAACAAACAGAGCAAGAGGCCAGAGACACACTCCTGGGCTAAAGTACATGAGAACCAAAAGGGAAACACACAGAAGCCAAACTAGAAAAATTAATTAATGAATTAATTAATAAAAGGAAAGGAAAAGACAGGAATTCTGGTGGCTAATCCTGTGAATGGGGACGGGGGTGGGGGTAGGGCAGGAAGGATTCAATTGTATCCTCTGACTGGGCATGGTGGCTCATGCCTGTAATCCCAACACTAAAGCTGAAGCAGGAGAATAGCCATGAGTTTGAGGCCAGCCTGGAGTACACAGTGAGACCCAGTCTCCAAAACCAACCAAACAAAAACCCAATAACAGCAACAACAAAATACCAGCAAATCATATCCTCTGTCCACAGCCCATGTGATACCTGTCTTTTAGACACTGTCCCGAGGGGGAGAATTTGGGAATATATTTTCACACGTTGTCATATTCTCCCTTGAAAATGGAGCATCTCTTGTAAAAGAAGTAATTGTACAGGACTAGAGAACTGGCCTAACAGTTAAGTGTGCTTTTTGTTCTTCCGAAAGACCAAGCTCCAGTACTAGTACCCAAGGTAAACAGCTCACCACTGCCTTTAACTCCAGCTCCAGGAACTCCAACACTCTTCTGGTCTCCATGGGCACCTATACATACATGTGGTGTACATATATATACACACATTACATAAAAGTAAATTTTGTTTTTTTGGTGTTTTGAGACAGGGTTTGTATAGCCTTGGCTGTCCTGGACTAGCTCTGTAGCCCAGGCTGGCCTCGAACTCACAGAGATCCGCCTGCCTCTGCCTCCCAAGTGCTGGGATTAAAGGCGTGCGCCACCCTGACAGCCATAAAAAATTAAAAAAAAAAATTTTTTTTTAAAGTAGTTGTACCCAGAAGTAATGTATTATTTCTCACTTCTAGCAAAATTCTGGGTACCTTCTCAGTTCCGGTTTTCTTATTTCTCATACTTACTTTTAGAGCTCTTAACTTTCGTCCACACCCTTCAGGGGATGGGACAGGAGGACGTAGCTGCCACGCTCCGTGATCTCCTTAGAGCAGAAGGTGAATAGCGACCACAGCGAGCTCTGACCACTTCAGTGTGAGGGAGGCAGGGGTGGCGGGCACCCAGAGACAGCTGTAGCCGATGGAAGGATGGCTGCAATGCCGCCGTGATCTTCAGGAACAGGACAGTCTGCTGTCCCCTCACCTGCCACAGGCCGAAGCTCCTGACCTTGGCCTGCTCTTCTGTTTCCTGGTAGGCCCACGGTGGGAGGAGCTCGGTGTGAACCCAGAAGGTGAAGGGGCTCAGTGGACATGGCTCCTACACGTCATCTCCAGGGACAGAGCAGATCGATGCGAGAGAATAAGGGACCTTCAGGGACAAAGGGACATTCATCAGGCTAGGACTGATCACAAAATCACAGGTGCCATGGAACTGGCCTGGCTTTCCAGGCTGACTCTGGACTTACACTGGGCATGAGATCAAGCTCGGAGTAGAACCTGCAGACACGGAGCCAAAGGGAAGCAGCTGAGCTCTCTGCCTCCCGGCTCCGGGTCTCCAGACCAGAGCATAGCTTGTTTTCATAAAATCCCAGAAACCATACAGAAAAGAAAAAAAAAAACAAAACCTCCTTTGGGAAGACAGCCTAAGAAGTTCATATATATATATATATATAAATTTTCCAGAGCTGAGGACCGAACCCAGGGCCTTGTGCTTGCTAGCCAAGCGCTCTACCACTGAGCTAAATCCCCAACCCCAAAGTTCCTATTTCTTATAACTAACAAACTTTGGGAGCTGGGCGGTGGTGGTGCACACCTTTGATTCCAGCACTCGGGAGGCAGAGACAGGCGGATCTCTGTGAATATGAGTCCAGCCTGGGCTACAGAGTGAGTTCCAGGGCAGCTAGGGCTGTTATACAGAGAAACCCTGTCTTGAAAAACGAGAGAGAGAGAGAGAGAGAGAGAGAGAGAGAGAGAGAGAGAGAGAGACTTTGGGAGGCAACATTCCACCTTTTAAAACTGAGGCTCAGGCTCAGACAGTGCTGGCCTGTAATCCCAGTAGTTGGGAGGTCAAGGCAGGGACACCCCCCCCACACACACACACACATCCCCACCACCTCATAAACAAACAAGTGAATATAAAAAGAAAGGGCCAGTGCGATGGCCCAGCAGGTAAAGGCCGAGCCTGAGGACCGGAGCTCTACCCCCAGGTCCCACATAGAAAGAAAGAACTGACTCTTGTAAGTTGTCTTCTGACCTCCGCATACACAATAAATTTAATAAAAAAATAAATAAATTAATAAACAAAGGATTCAGGATCCAAGCAAGACACAGATGTCGCTTCCCTGAGGGAGCTGGCATGCCCCGCAGGGATGCTTAACTCCAACATTGTGAATTTTCTACGACTCCCTAAGCCTGCTAAAAGCAGTTTCAAAAACCAGAAGGAACTCCACCCTAAACCCAAGTGCCCAGCAGGGAAAGGACCTCGCAGCCAGCCGAGGAGCTGGCGGGCATGGCTACCTCTAGCTAAATATTACCCAGTGGCCAGAGGGAGAGCGGCCTTAGACTCTTAAAACCGCGCTCAGGTCCTTCCGAGCACTCCTGGGAGAGATGTGTGTTTTGAAAATGTTATAATCCTTTGCTAAATATCAAGGTCAGGGCTGGCAGTGCACTCTGCTCCTGGCACAGCCCTTACTTCCTCCGGGGGAGGCTGAGCCGGGGGAAGGAGGATGGCCTTGAGCACCTCCGCCCTAGAACAGGGGAGGCTCTCCAGTCTCCGCGCCCAGAACCCCCAGGCCCACACCCTGTCAGTTTCCCTTCCCCAGAGCAGGAAGGTGAGGTGAGGTAATGTCTCTGGAACCCCACAGTGGCAAGAAGATGAAAAGAATCCGAGAAATGCTGTGTTTAATTTAAAGCAGACCCAGCCTGCCGCCAGGCTGCAATTTCACTCAGAATAACCAGTTTGTTTTTCTTGGACATTCCAGGAACCAACTGGCCACCCCATGTCAAAGCTCAGCAGGAATGCTCACAGGGCCCCTTGCTGTGGGGCC